GCCAAATGAATCTGTCCAGTAAAGCAATGTATTCAGTTCTGACCCATACTTTCTCCCTTCAGAAAAGTCATCTGCTGGCGCATTGTCTTTGACTAGTCTGCTAGGAAACCCCGGTTGTGTGTTGCAGAGCATTCTAGGGCATGTTCCAACAATGGATACTCCCGGTTCATGCAGGGCACCGGAGAAGCCTCCTTAGATTTGACATGGTCCCATTGTGAATAGAGGCCAAGAACAGAGAGCACACCCACTGCCCCTCCATAGTTGTGCATTGCAGACAGCAGCCACAGGTAGCCAGCCTTTCTTTCGGGGATTGCAACGAAAACCAATGCAATTGAATACTAGTAGTCCACACAATGGAGAGCCGGGTAACAAAGGCAGGATTTACTCCCTTGAATTAGAACCTTCCTGCTTATAATTGTCTGCTACCTCTTGTCCCAAGATTTCACACACAGAGACACACACACACACACACATTGAAAATGAGGACAGAGGGAAAACTGAGCATTAGGCTGTTACTACAAAACCAAAAATCGCTCTCACGCGCACAAAGAGAGAGACACACATGCGCTACCAACACCTCTTTGAATGCACTGCCTCTGCTTTGCCATCAGTCCCTTCAAAGACTCAAAGCAGGTGGGCTTAGAAGGGTGATGGGAGCAAGGCAAGGGAAGGGAAGGGAGAAGACACAATACATCCCATTGATAAAAAGAAAGAGGGCCTCCTTGGCCTCCTCCCAGCTAAACCCCTCCTTCCCGCACCATCTCCATTTCTTCCCCTTGCTTCCTCTGCCCCCAAATGGGAAGGAAGATGGCACATGCCAGACAAAGCCATGTGTGCACAGGCGTACATGTGGCGCATGCATTTGGACCTGTGCATATCTATAGCAGCATTGGTAGATCCCTGAGCAGGGCGACCAGGTGCCATAACCACAAAGGAGGACAAGGCACCGTAAAATATGTAGTGCATTCAAGAAACGTATAGGACACTACAAACTGAAAGTTAAAACCCTGATAGTTTGTTATGTCCTATATTTTTCTTGAATGCACTATATTTTGCATAGTGCCTTGCTATCATTAACCACAAAGGAGGGCAAGACACCCCATAAAATGTATTGCATTCTTTCTCCAGGACATGTCCTGCCTTTCTGTCCAGGAGGAATTCCAAACTGTCCTCCATCCTGAGCATGACCAAGAAGCAGGAATGTATATTGATAGCAAGGTTTTTGACTCTTATTTTTTTGCAATGTTCTATATTTTTCTTGAATGCAATACATTTTATGGCGTCTTGCCCTCCTTTGTGGTTACAATAGCTGGCCACCCTACATGACATTGTGTGTATTGGGGAGGGGGATCCTTTTCAGAAAGAAGAGGAAGACTAAGCCCTGAGTGGAAGGGAGAAGAGAAAACAAAGCATCCTTTCAGGTGTGTCTGTGTCTTCTCTTCTTCTGGGAAGATCCATCCATCCAACCAACCATCCTTCTCTCCTGCAACCAAGAAACACAGCTGCATAGTGGGTGGAGGGACATAAGTACACACTGACCTTGCACTAGACTGTGTGTTGTGTGCCTCCAAGTCGCCTGTCGACTTATGGCAACCACATGAATTTCATAGCGTTTTCTTAGGCAAGGAATACCCAGAGGTGGTTTGGCCAGTTCCTTCCTCTGAAATAGAGCTGACAGCACCTGGTATTCTTTGCAATCCTTCTGGGCTTAGAGAAGATTCCTCTTTTTGGCATGCCACTTCCAGAGCATGAGAAAAAGCTGCCCTTTTGGACTGTCACTCCCAGAATCCCCACACACAAGACTTTGGTTCCCTTTCCTTTCAAATACTGCAGGCTAGAACTTCCAGTGCATCAGAAAAAGGTGTCTTTTTGGACTGTCACTCCCAGAATCCCCACACACAAGACCTTGGTCCCTTTCCTTCCAAATGCTGCAGGCTGGGACTTCCAAAGCATGAGAAAAAGGTGTCATTTTGGACTGTCACTCCCAGAATCCCCACACACAAGACCTTGGTTCCCTTTCCTTCCAAATGCTGCATGAGGGGGAAAACCTATTCTGTTGCCTACATGACAGAAAATAACAACAACAACAACAACAACAACAACAATAAATGTTTATATTCCTGTTTTAATTATCTTGCCATTTAATACTGTTTTAAGGGGGTGGGTTGGGGTATGAATTTTGTTGTATGGGGTTTTAACTGATGTAAGCCGCTTAGATTGTCTTCATTTAAGCGGGGTATAAATAAATTTTATTATTATTATTATTATTATTAACAATAATAAATTCACTGGCTGGAGGAAGGAGGCTGGGGGGGTCACTATTTCCCCATCCACATGAGGGGGAAAGCCTATTATGTTGCTTAAATGACAGAAAACCATCATCATCATCATCATCATCATCATCATCCACATGGGGGGAGCCTATTCTTCAGTTTGTATGAGAGAAAATAATAATGATAATTAATACTACTTGGCTAAAGAAAGGAGATTTGGGGGTCACTGTTTCCCCATCC